AGAATACTTTTTGTACGCGAAGAAAACAAAAATAACGACTTTATTCTACAATTCATCTTCTCTGTGTCTCTCCGCATCACCATTTTGGAGAATATCCACTGAACGCAAGCAGCGTACGCTATTCTGTGTCAGCCGCGCTGCAAGGATGCGCTGTTTTCGTTCAAATCAAAGCGTAAATACACATAGAAAGCGTATCCTTGTGGCGCAGCTGACACAGAAGAGCGTACGCTGCTTGCGGAGAGACACCGAGGAGACAAATTGTTGAATAAAGTCGTTATTTTTGTTTTATTTGTTCTTTCTTTCTGTAGTATGTTGACTCTGCAGATTTGGAGGCCAGTACACTGCAGGAAGAGCCAGTGAGGTACCATGAGGCCTGGCAGAAACTCTGCAGCGCCAAGTGAGTAGTGACCTGCGATCTGTATAATTACGCCTACAATAGACATGGCTGATTTTATGCATTTTAAATCTATTCTGCTCAATAAGGCCATGCAAACGCCTTAATGGTGTTCTTTTATTGAGGAGAATTCAGACGCAGTCAGTCCTGATGTAGTTTTGCTAATATTACTGCTGCGGTCTCTCGTGTCAGTGGTATTTTAGTACCTGGAGGTTTTGGAGTACGAGGGACGGAGGGCAAGATTCAAGCCATCAGCTGGGCCAGGAAACAGAAGAAGCCCTTCCTGGGTAGGACGGTCCTGCTTAAAATTTGTTAAAACTGAAATATCCTGCTCCGTCTGTGAATTGAACTGATCTGTGCCATTTGACTTTCAGGTGTGTGTTTGGGGATGCAGCTCGCTGTGTGTGAATTTGCTAGAAACATGTTGGATTGGAAAGGGAAAATCTTCCTTTACAATAAATAAGTAAATGCCGTACTGAATGTTTAGCAAGCAGTGTTGAACAAAGTGTGACTCTTGGTTTTCCTAGATGCTAACTCCACCGAATTTGACCCAGAAACAAAACATCCTGTGGTGAGTATCAGATTTGGTTTAAATGTGGATTTCTGGTGTGTTTTGGAGCAGATGTTTGATCGGTCGTCTCACAGGTGATTGACATGCCAGAGCACAATCCAGGGCAGATGGGAGGAACTATGCGGCTGGGGAAAAGGAGAACCATTTTCAAAACCAAAAACAGCATACTTAGTAAGTGCACTAATATTAGACATCATTTAGTCACCCAGAGTGAAGATTTAGTATATATATATATGTGAGTGATTTGCTCACAATGTAGAGGGGTTGTAATACCTTGAAATTAATATTTCTGTATTTTAGATGAATTTTTATTTGACCATTTTCCCAAAGAGCATGTCATTGTCACATTAATTTCACAGTCCTTTTTTATCTTTCGAGAGCGTTATATGACTGATGTTGTAATGTTGGTTAAGTAATTTGGTAAGGCGATTCATTTCTTAGAATCAGTTAAAAATGTAGGTTTCAGTCAATCATCTGATGGGTTTATATCATCTCCCAGAAGTGTTCTCCGCTCCTGTGAGGCTTTTGGCTTGCTATAGTTGAACAGATATATCGTTTCTTTATGAATAGCAGTGCTTACATGGACTCAAATAATGTGTTTATAACTGGATTGATGGCTCAATCGGACTGAAAAGCCTTTATGTAAATCCCTCAATTGATCTGATTTAACTCGATCCGAATAAACTTCAGTGTTAACCTGAAATGATCTGATCAACAGGAAAAAAATGAAAGGGCTCATCGGATTACTTTTTCCGTGTTTAAGTGCTATAATTGAGTGTCCGGTGCATCTACCAACTCAGAAAACATAAAAAAGAAGAACCCAGTAGGTTTGGTTTTGTAAACCTTTCTCTGCAAGCATGTGAGAAAATGAGCCGATCAGATTTCTCTCCCCTTCTGACGTAGGAAGGGGTTCTTATTATAATATTACCGCTCATTAAGCTGCTCGTTTCCACCCACGGTGCTCAGCCGCCATTGTTGATTTCGTAAGCGACAGCGGTGTACTTGTTCTGACGCCATGGCAAAAGTTCGCGGAAAACATGCTAAAGGTTCTGTTGCTGGCTGCACAGACGAACACAAATCATTATTTAGAGTCCCAGCCTCAGAGGAGACGAGTGGAGTGGATTTATTTTATTTTTAGTGGAAATCCCGGAAGGGGGGTGGGGTGCGCTGCAACTCATTATCATTTAAAGAGACATACACCAAAACGGGTTGGTGTGAGCAGAGCTGTTTTTGACAAGGCAAAAAGGGTGTTGTTTACACAGCCATTGAGTGTTTTTAAGCAAAATATGTTACAGACATTTCATGAAGACCCTAATAAATCATGCCAACTTGCGGAAAATGTTCATCCGATGAGCCCTTTAAACATGTAAATGCTAGAATCAGACTGTTTTATCAATTGTATTCCTATATATCATGGACACAGGCGCAGTGCCATGACATATGTTAAAGGTGACATATCATGAAAATCTGACTTGTCCAGGTTTTAAGTGCTATAATCAGGTCCCTGGTGCATCTACCAACCAAGGAAACGTGATCCGTGTGCACACAGGAAACCATATATCAGAAGTTTAAACTCGAATGGTTTAAACCGCATGATTTCAGCGCGATAAACATGATAATCAGAACCAAAACGGATAATGTTTTTTTTTTACACTTTAGGAACTGGTTAGTGGAGGAGACTGAATATGTATTAAATATTATCTAATAAAGCTCTTTTTATATATATCTTGGCAACAACAGCAATTATACTCCGTTAAGTTTTGTTCTGAAGACATGTATTGCACATGGAAGCGAGCAAGTTGAAGTTAGTGATGAAAATTAGTCCATGTAAACAAATCTGGTACCGAGTATTTGTATTATTCTTAGGTGTGCGAGCATGGATGAAACCAATATTGTTCGTTCTGTGTGAGCAGGTGAACCCAGAGCTGAAGCAGCATTTCGAGGAGAAGGGCTTCCGTTTTGTGGGTCAGGACGTGGAGGGTGAGAGAATGGAGGTCATCGAGCTGGACGGTACGTCACCTTCATTTATATAGCGCTTTAGACAATACAGCTCGTGTCAAAGCAGCTTTACAGTGTTTAACAGAATAATGTTTCAATGATGCAGCTCTAGAAAGAGGACAGTAGTGAAGTCATTTAGTCCGTTCAGTTCATTGTTGATGATTGAACTAAAGAAAAATATGCGTTGCAGTAATTTGACGGTTTTTTTTTTTTTGGCAGATCACCCGTATTTTGTTGGTGTCCAGTATCACCCAGAATTCACATCCAGACCCATAAAACCGTCTCCGCCGTACTTTGGCCTGTTGTTAGCCGCTGCAGGGAGGCTTCCAGGTTATCTTCAGAAAGGCTGTCGGCTTTCACCACGGTATGCACTACTGATGTTCCCTGAGCAGCAAAACGTCTCTCAGCCAATGATATCAAGAGATTCGTCACAATAAAAAGCTGTTTGCTGTTTTGACTCCAGACAAAATCTCTTAAACCTGCAGATCGTTTTGCGTTATACCAGGCATCAGAACCTTTGAGTAGTTTTGCATGATACCAAATGAAAGTGGTTTTCTGTTGACAGAGAAACATACAGTGACCGGAGCGGCAGCAGTTCTCCAGACTCTGAGATCGCAGACTTCAAACTACCCTCGCTCGCTCAGGATTGAATCGGTTGATGGTATAGTGCAGCGTGACATTGTATTTGTATGCAGTATGGTTTCCAGACAAGCTTTAGTTTTATATTTATTCTCATTTCTTTTCAGGGCCTGCTTTATAAAAGATGCAGTACTGAAATGCAGTTTTAAATGGTCCAGCTTCAGTGAAAACAGGATTTGACAAAGACTGGCAGCTTCATTAACTCATTCTCCATTGTATATTGCATGTGATGTTGCCAATTAAACCAGTGGAAATGAGGTGTAAACTTGCTCTGGCAAACTGCTTAATGCTTAATGTGGTGTTTGATAAGATTTGTTCCCCCATGCATAGCTTTTAAGCTGACAGTTGTTTTTTCAAAATGTAAATTAAAGTGTACAGAAGAGAAATACAAATTTTTCATAGAGCAAAGGATTCTTTCAGAAAACCGTATTAAAACTGTATAAAAAAAATAAAAAAAAGTTCCAGTAGCTGTAGCGTTAAACAACTAGGCCTGTCGCAATAATCAATATTAGCGACCGTTATATTTACTTAAATTGTCACCAGGTTTTATACAGTCCACTTGTGCGCCTGTGACTTTGCAGCTTCTCGTACATAACGTGTAGTCATGAGGTGCTAGTTCACATTTAAAAACTGCTTCTTCTGCAGATATGGCCTAGTTTAGGGAATCTGTGCCTTTGTGCATAGACACCTGACTGCTAGTGATTGTGTTTTTCAGGAATATTGTGCACCCTTAAGTTACAGCGAAAAGGTCGGGAAAATCTGTAAAAAAAGTCCGTAGAAGTTTTGCGCATTTTTTTTTTCTTCTACTTGTTACTTTGCTAGAAAGTGTTTTACTGTTCAAGTTTAAGGTAATATTTTCATAATTTCCATGATCTAAATAATTTTTCAAAAAAGTTTGTCATCATTTGAAAGGGTGTAGGCTCTCTTCCATTATGCCTTTACATTATGATTGTATTCAGTGGCATAAAATGGTCTTTAAAAATGACAATAACCTCTCATATCACAATCATTTCTGGGGCAATATAAATCGCACAACAAAGAGTAATAAAGTCAGAAATGTTAGACAAAGCCACACTTTATTGGGTTTGATTTGCACCATTACAGCTTCCACTCGCTGGGCAGGAGCCACTGAAAACCTAAAATAAGAGAAACACCATAAGCCACAACAGATAGCACAGATGCCTCAAACTGACAAGCACTGATCTCAGTCCCATATCCGCAAGTTTCATCCAGCAGTCACCATCAAATCTGTCATCCTTGATCAGGAATCACTATTTTATTGAGAGCGTCAGCAGCATCATACCTGCACTTGCGCCACCGGTCCCACAGGCCATCAGCTCCTGTAAGACAACGGCTATTAATAGAGGGCACAGAAATAAAGTCATGCAAGAGCAGTGCTGGGTGTTGGACAATCGAGTAACCGACGCAGACGCCGGCCGGTCAAAGTCTGCCCGTTGATTTAGCACGCTGTTGGAGAACCTGGTATACACCAACAGCACAGATTCTCAGGAAACATGCAGAAGGACACTAAAGATGCTGAGCTCACCGGTGCACTGACCCACAGCGATGGTGACTCCTCACTGCCAGCACCGCACCATCTGACGGAGACACATACAACATTAAAAGTCAAGTTACAAAGAGAACACCATAAACACAGAAGTGACGTTTGGCTCAGGCATCAGCTCCTGTAAGACAACGGCTATTAATAGAGGGCACAGAAATAAAGTCATGCAAGAGCAGTGCTGGGTGTTGGACAATCGAGTGGCAGACGCCGGCCGGTCAAAGTCTGCCCATTGATTTAGCACGCTGTTGGAGAACCTGGTATACGCTGACAGCACAGATTCTCAGGAAACATGCAGAAGGACACTAAAGATGCTGAGCTCACCGGTGCACTGACCCACAGCGATGGTGACTCCTCACTGCCAGCACCGCACCATCTGACGGAGACACATACAACATTAAAAGTCAAGTTACAAAGAGAACACCATAAACCCAGAAGTGACGTTTGGCTCAGGAGCGTTTATTTGAGTGTCATAACAGAGCAGTTCTCTCAGAGAGGGCAAGTTTGTCATCACAGCCAGCACGGAAACACAAAACCCAAAACAGAAACCAACCTGTTAATGAAGGCTCCCTCGGACCATCTCAAGCAGTATTTCATTCATCTCTTGCATCATCCGACCTGCATAAAAGGAAACACGGTTAGGCAGGGCTACTACTCATAGTAGGACATCCGTGGAAACAGGTTTTCGGTTGTCCTTTTCCTTAATGTTGCTGGGACAGCTACAGGTGAACTGTACAGCGACCGTCGGTAAAAGTGTTGCTATCGGCTCCTGTTTGACCGGACCAGTTATAGAGGAACGGGAACGACTTCGATCAGGGCCTTGAACAGTCAATCTTTACATTATAATTTCCCATGCAAACAAATGAACCAATCACTCGAAGAGAAAAAAAATAAAAATTGGATTTACTTTGTCAACAGTCTCCAAGTAACTGGGTTATGTTGCATTTAATTAACATTTCAGTCAACTTAAGTTTATTACATAAGGTTAATTCAATGCCATTTAGTAGAATCAGGTTAACGTCACTAATTTAGTCCAAAACCATCAAAGTTCAATTATCCTAAAATAAATAAAGTAATCCAGCTTAATTGATTAGGTTTACGTAATTAATGAGTTTAAGAAATCTAATCTAATGAGAACTCACAACATTTTTTCTGTTAAGACTTATTGGGCATTAGCCATAAAACAGTGGTTACATTAATGGCATGCCCGAAGTAGTATTGTTTATTATTATTTATTATTAACACCAATTCTTGTTAGCATGTCCTCAACCCAAGAACACGCTCCACGACACCAACATACCAGAAACTCTTTAAATACAAACATAACATTAAACATCAAGTCTCCCAAATTTCATCTTGATTTAATAGAAGAAAAATTTCAACATTTACCCTCCCCATCTAGCCCTGTGCAATGCATGATGGGAAGCAGAAACCTGTTCCTAGTTACACAATCCATTTAAGCAGAGTACATGAATGGATTTTAAAGTAAAGTGGTTGAAAAGAATTGATGGATTAACTTAATTTATACTCAACTAAATTGAACAAGCATCAAATGTTATTTCTGGCCTACTTAATGGAAACATGTTCTTTCAAAATGAAAATATTGAGTTGATCCAAAACGCAACCGTTTCAAAGGAAACGAGAAAATGAACTTAAACTGCACAGTATCCTAAAGTCACTTTGAGTGTATTGGATATTAACCAGCACGAGCCGAATAACAGAACTCGCATGTTTGCACCTTAAGGCACACTTAACCTGTTTCCAGGGTATTTTAAATAAACTAAACCCAATGCAAAACCTAAGTCTCCAATGCAAACTAAACGGTCTGAAATGGCGCCGCTTTGTGAACCACTCTGCAAGCCTTGATGCATTCATTCATAAAACCAAGTAGCTGCTTCCAGAAGCTTTATAAAAGCCTACAGAAGTCGTTTTTATGTTAAACTGGAAGACCGTTTCATTCGAGCCCAACCCCGACCACGCTTCTTACACACTACATCCCGAGTCCCGACTACTACTAATCTTCATAACATCCTGCGCTAAACACCAGTAATTCACAGACGAACCAGTGCTGTAACATCCAAACAACCTCCCTATGAGAACTAGCTGCTAAATTAAAACTCAAAGTCTTCGATGTTTAAGGATTAAACGAAACTCACCTCCATTCTCTAAGAGAGCTGGTTGAAGGAGGAAGACGAGAACGTGACGCGGTCTTTTATACAGCGAAACTCAACGCTGATTGGTGAACGGGCTCATCGCTGATTGGCCGACTGAGTTGGCTGGGTCGCAACGCTTGATGGGATATGTAGTTCTGATTGTGAGATTGTAGTTATGGGATTTTTTTCGGACATCTGGGATATATATTTGGTTATATCTGACAACTCTAATTCATTTATTTAACTGATTTGTTTTCTCAATGTGAAATATTTAAATATTTATAAACATTTCTAATGAAAAATACATGTAAATGAGGTCATAAAGTAATTCTCATGCTGTGTTCTGCTTTTACACATTGGCTGGACATTATACCCGTTAGCTCCAATAAATAAAAATATCAACCCTCCATGATGTAAATGGATAATTCCATCTGTCAACAGATTCTATTTTGACTTGAATTCATAACGGGAGAATTCCTGTGATCTGGATTAGTGGGATACTGGTCAGCTAATTACACCCCATTAAGCGCTTTATCTCATTTTTAAAATTGCATGGTATTTACAAGCATATTCTGGGTCCTGGGTTTGTTAAATTATGCTGAAGCCCCCGACAACCTCAATAATGAAACCTATTTCAGCACCACGGACAGATCCAGTACAGACTCCGCTTGGACCGAGCCTAGATGCCAGTCTAATAATCTTCAGAAACCACAAAAACTTATATAAAAACACAAATACACGATGTGGTCTGATAGTTTGGCTCATGCAATAGCTATGATGCGAGGCAACTATCCATATCACGCAGCGCGGCTCTAGTCTAGTAACCTTCTGTTATGCCAGTGGCTATTTAGCGCAAGCTTTAATGTGCGTCAATTTAAAAAAAGTCACGCGAAGGGAAAATGTCTGTCAAAAAAAAAAAAAAATATATATATATATATATTATTTTTTTCGCCTTCACTGACAGATCTTTCTACCTAAATCATTCCTGATCACTTCCAAAAATTCAAGTTTCAGGATTGTAACTCTTTAAACTCGCGTGACAAATGAAAACATCATGAGTTCTAAATCAGCTCAAAATATCAGACACGTTTGATCTCCTCCGATGAACCATAGACTGAAGCTGAAGGCCGCAATGCATTGCTTTTGGAGAAGTTGACGCTAGTTGCCGAAAGTCAGAGCCAGTCTGCAGATCTGAGTTGACAGACTTCATAGAAAATCGCTGATGGTCACAGACTGACCATCATACATTACACAGAATCTGTCAAGCATCAACTTCTCCAGACAGTAAATCGGGGCAAAAAAATCATGTGGTGTATTACAGCTTTAAGTCAATGATTAGCATACACTGTAAAAAATGATTGCGATTTTAACAGTAAAAGACTGTAAAAATGCTACAGCAAAAACCTGTTAATTGGTTAACAGTAAGTTTCCATACTATATACGGTGAATACATGTAATTACATTTAATGTAATTTTACAGTAAAATACTGTTAAAAATACGGTTTTTGGAAGTGAAAAAGAAA